TAAGGGACTTAGAGCATAAAGGAGGGCCAAGACTTGATAAAGTTGGCGACTTTAAGTCCATAGAGGCCATGAGATGTCCAGATCTGAAGCCATGACTTCATAACATGCTCAAATCCAATAATGGTCTCAAAATAAGCTAATAATGGCCATAACTTTCAAAAGAAGAGATCTAGAAAAAGGATGGTCAAGGTATCGACTTTATACCTTAGAATGACTGCAACAACAGTGAAAATCCCAGATCTAAAGCTTCTCCTTTCAACTTTGCACCACCAACTTCACACTCCTTCAAAAAAAGCACCAAAGAACACTCTTCAAGCTCTCACACACTCAAAATGGGGAAAGAGGCACGATTAGGGTTTTCTCTGGACCGAGGGGATGGCGAGGGAGGCTAACAATGGGTCATAAGGTCTTTAAATAGGTTGCAAAACCCTGAAAATTAGGGTTTCATGCTCAGCCCTCAACTCGTCGAGTTGGGGCCTTCCAACTCGTCGAGTATACCTTAAAGATACGCGACCATTTAAAACCCTACACGACGAGTTAGAGCCTCCCAACTCGTCGAGTTACCCTGAAAATGAGTATATATTAAGCTTTTATTTCATACGTGGGAATCGGGGTGTTACAGTTTTCAACGGAAAAACCTTTTCATTTCATCGGTGAAACCTCACCATCGGTGATATACCGCTGGTAATATATTTATCGAGGGGTGGTGTTCACCGGCGGTAATATGCTCCACGTATCCATACACCGGCGGTAATATGTGGTCCCAACCTTAGCTTCCTTCACCTGTACCCTTGAACATCATGACTTCATCTTCTCCGAATAAGCAGATGGGTTTCACTCTAGCATACAAAGGCGAAAGCTAAGGTCTCTAAGAAGATGGAGGTGGACCAACATCACCGGTGATATCACCATCGCTTCGACAACCATCCATGAACCACCCTTTTATCCCTTCAATCCTTCTAGATCCTCCTCTGATTTCTCCATTGTTTGGAATTTGGACTACCACCGAAATACAATCGGTCAGAACCATTCCCTCGTCACCACCTCTTCTCGATGCCCTCTCCTCAGTCGAGAGTAGAAGATCGTCTAAATCATGCCTCTGTAAAACAAAATTGGCATACTCATCCTTCTCCTTCCTACCGCTCTCATTCTCCTTCGTCAAATCATTGACTGTTCATATACCTCGACTCATCTCCTTCATCTGATTCGTATCCTTCTTCTGAAATTCAGGAGACTAATAAGTAGTAATCAGTTGAATTTAGGGCTTATTGTGGTTGTTTTGAGTTATGCCTTATGCCATAGTAGGGTATAGGATCCATGAATCAAGTATTGATGTTGTTTGCTTGTATGAATCGAAGAACCCAAATGCATCGATGAAAAAAAAAGTCGTGGAGAATTTTTTGGGAGAAGATGATATGTAGAAGAAATTCTTCATGATATGCGGAAGAAATTATTCTTTTTTGGTATGAATGAATTTTGATTCCTCAAATCGAAGAACCCAGATTGGTCTTTTGCAAGTTCTTAATATTATTTGGTTGTGGATTTTGATTTAAATGGTTAGGTTTGGTTTTCATATTTGGGATTTGTTGAAGAACAAGCGTGGCTGGTTGCCAGAGGTTTCATCGGAGATGACAACCGGAGACAAGGACAAGAATGGGGTGGGGTGGGGGGTTTAGGGTGTGACCTATCTATCTTATTAAATAATTTCTTTAACTAATAAATAATTAAAAAAACATTAATTAATTAGAAAAGAAATATACAGGGGCAATAAAGTCTTTTTAAGTCTGCTAGGGACCAAGTGCGCAACGAAAATATATAATAGGGGCAGTCCGAGTTAAAAAAAAAAGTTTTAGGGACCAAGCTTGCAGACTACGCCAAACCATAGGGACCATTTGTGTAATTTACCCAAAAATAGTTAAATTGGTTAAAATTAATTTAGTTACATAGCTCTAAACATGGGTTGTCCTGATTTTATTTTATTTTATTTTATTTATATATATATATATATTTGTCGTTGATGCTTTTCATTTTATGTCTTATTATAACAGTAAAATAATTGACTAGATAATGTGAAAATGCCACCTTAAAATGCGAAAAACGGTAATGTATTTTATAAATTTGGTTCTTTGCGGTTTTGAACCGAAAAACCGAAATCGTATCGGAACCGAACTGGTATTTTCGGTTCCTATATTTCCTTATTTTTGGTTTTTCGGTTATCTGTATGGTTTCAAGAGCGATCTCATCTCTATCCCTAATAGTCTTTTTATTAAAGGAAAATGATTTGTAAACAAACAATTTTTATCTATGTAAACAGAAAATACATGTTATTATTATATAATATAAAAAATACATGTTATTATTATATGAGAATCAAAAAGTGTTAGACCGTATTTAATTTACCTCCTATTGGGTCCAATAAGAGAATACCTCTTACGCGGTCCCTCAAGATCTTATGCCTTTGTCACTGCTCAAAGAAAGACGCACATCTGGCAACCTTCGTCCTACATCCTTCGGCAACGCTTCCTCCGCACTCGTCAACCAGCACCGAGTCCACCCTTTACAACTCTGACGATAAGCGTTATTTCTCCTCACCGAGTCGAAATGAAACAAGATACATGATATGCTCGTCAACTTTATTTTTTCTCTTTGTTTGTACTATTTTTTTATAACTAATTTTAATAAATTTCGATTGTATTATGATCAAAATAAAGTTGATTAGCATATCATGTATCTTGTTTCATTTGGGTGTCAAACTACCTACATTCTTCCGATCTTCAATTGGGGATTTCAAATTTGGTTTTAAGTTCTTGATTCTGTTCGGAAGAAGCCACAATCAAGGTTAGCTTCTTTCTTCTTCTTCTTTTTTTTTTCTTTTACCATGTTTTGTCTTCAATTGGGGGTTTTCAAATTTGGTTTTAAGTTCTTGATTCTGTTCGGAATAAGCCACAATCATGGTTAGTCTTTTTTTTAAGCATGTTTTGATGTTGATCAGTTTGATAATTCATATGTAAATATTGTTAGTTATCACTATAGTTGTAGTTTTAAATGTCAAAACAGTTGGTATCTAGTTGAGTTTCATGTTATTTACATTTGGTTCTATTATACTCGAATAACAATCTTATATATTTTATGCTTAACTTTAATATCCTTATATATTGAAATATAAGGATACTCTGATGATGATGATGATGATGAAGCTTCTACAAAAATAATATGAAATTGGTGGCTTATGATGAATAAAATAAATTCTGTATAGGTATTATGTTTTTTTTTGGTAATAGTTTTGTTGTAATTGCTTGAGTTTGTATTTATACAATTTTATTCTAGTCAGTAAATGTTTTTTAGTCTAAAATATTATTATTTGAAAAGAATAAATATAATAATAAAAAAATTTCTATTCCATTTCTTGCTACACCTTCATGTATCAAGTTTAAAGTAGTTTTGTGCTATTTGTCTATCTCTCCTATCAAACATATACATTTTATTCACCACAAAATATAACGTAAGGATAAAATGGTTATTTTGCGGTTAGTATAACCAATTATATATGTAATCAAACAACATAGTTTCAATAAAAATAAATGCAGTCACAACTTAAGACCCAATCGATCGATAGTGAGTCTAATTTTTTTTTTTATGGAAAATGCAAACAAATTAAACGGAAGTCCCTATAAAAATTTACAGAAAAAAATTCCCTTGGCACCAAAAAAATTCAAGAGTAAATTCGGCAAATGACCAAAATGTAGGGTGAGTTTGAAGAAAATGACCACAAAAATGAATATTTAAGAAAATGACCACACCATAAACACCGCTGCGGATCTTGATTTTTTTTCATTTTTTTTGTTTTCGTTTATTAATATTCTTTTTTAATCACATAAGGTATTATGTAATTATTATGTAAAAAAAATTTGTTTTCGTTTTTCGTTTTTCTTATTTAATTACCCGTTTATAAAAGTTGTGTGTTTAATAAAAATTATACAAATATTCTATGTTTTTTATAAAATTACACACACCGGTATTCTGAATAATAAACATACTTTAAGTAGGTTACAAAACATACTTTAGAAAACATAAACATACAACCTTCATAATAAACATACTATGAAATAAACTTCATTCATTCAAATCGAACCACAAAAACTTTGATTTGTTTTCGTATTCCGTCCATGGGTTTTCTGTTTCTTGTGTCCCTAGGTTTACTGTCGCTTGTGTCCATTGGTTATCTAGTTGTTGCTGCCATTGGTACTCGGTGCAACCCTGCCATTGGTTCTGTGGTTCTTCCTGCGGTCGGTATTCGGTCCCTTGCGTCTATTGGTTCTTTACTGGACGCAAGCGACAGTAATCCTAGGGACACAAGCAACTAGAAAACCCATGGACGGAATACGAAAACAAATCAAAGTTTCTGTGGTTCGATTTGAATGAATGAAGTTTATTTAAAGTATGTTTATTATGAAGGTTGTATGTTAATGTTTTCTAAAGTATGTTTATTATTCAGAATACCGGTGTGCGTAATTTTATAAAAAACATAGAATATTTATATAATTTTTATTAAACATGCAACTTTTATAAACGGGTAATTAAATAAAAAAACGAAAAACGAAAACAATTTTTTTTTACATAATAATCACATAATACCTTATGTGATTAAAAAAAATATATTAATAAATGAAAAAAACGAAAAAAATGAAAAAAAACCAAGATCCGCAGAGATGTTCACACTCCGCAGACGTGTTTATGGTTCCGCAGAACCTTTCTGCGGAACCTATGGTCATTTTCTGAAATATTCATTTTTATGTTCATTTTGTTTGAACTCACCCTAAATTTTGTTCCTTTGCCAAACACTAAGGACAGTCGATGGTGACAACTGACAACCGTTAAACTACAAGCTTATCAAAAAGAGTGAATGCATGTGATTTTGCTTCTGCGAGCCCAAAAACAGATCAACTCTCTCTACGGTCTACAGCTGTTGAAAACCCCCCACTAATCATACATCCTTAAAAATGGAGGAACAAAACTCAAGAATCTGCGTGGATTTGAGTTCATCATCGAGCACATACATTAGGCCAAGTTCGAGCATGATTTCTCCAAAATCGAACGATCCACTTGAGAATCTGCTAAACCTTAATGATTTTGAAATACAAATCATTTTAGATTATATCAGTCACGAAACTCATACCATCGAAACACATCCAAACAACGAGGTAAAAGAGTTGGCTGGAATTCCAATCATTTTCAACGAAACCACCCAACCTGAGTCTTCTCCATCATCCGCCGTTACTTATAGCAGCAGGAATTTCTCAACCGGTGGCGGGATGACTTCCGACAACAAAGCTCCGGCAAAGGTAAACGAGGGTTTATCTGATGTCATCCATAATCAACGACAACCATCAATGATGGGGTACAGAGGAGTAAGACGACGGTCATGGGGGAAGTTCGGGGCTGAGATGCGGAATCCAAAGACAGGCGTGAGGATGTGTTTAGGGACTTACAAGACGGCTGAGGAAGCTGCCATGACGTATGATCGAGAAGCATTTAAGCTCCGTGGACGTCGCGCAGTAGTTAACTTCCCGGGTTTGATCGTCTTGCAGAACAGAAGTCCCTAAAATTCACCATAAAAAAAAGCAAGATCTTAATCTAGGTTTAGGGAAGCAACACGAGGAGCCTAATTGCAATGTATTATTCATTCATGTTGTTGAAACTTGTTCTTGAGTTCAAACCCAAATTATCCTTGTTGTTTATATAATATTGATTGTAAAATTTATAGTTAATTTAGATAAAATTGATTCGGATCAAGTCTCTCTTCTGTAGTGTATACGTTGCCTTCCTCTTTTTTTGTGCAGGTATCCGTTACAGTCACCGGCAGCTCTCTGATGCGTCACCGGAGAAGACGATACCAGCAGAAAGCAACGCCGACTACATTTTCCGGGCGTAAGTTTCCCTCCCTCTCTACATTCTCCTAAGTGCAAACCGCAGCACCCCAAACACCCTCCGACCTTTCCCCATCACTACTGTCACGTCCACGATCATAGTGTCCTTTGTCACTTCCTTGTCCAGTTGTCCTTACAGCACTGTTACGTCCTTTTTCATCTGTAGCTTCTCAGCCTTCAATTATTGACATATACAGTATTATTTTTCTATCAGTATCATTTTTGCTGTTGTACAACAGTTTTTTGCGTGAATTGCATAGGTTTAGTTTTTCTATCTGTTATTAATTGCTGTTTATTTGGCTATTCATATTTTAATTCTTCTTCCGTACGATATACCCAAGTAGGACAAAATCTTTTTTCCCCTGTTTATACAATTTCGTATTTGTTATTAATTTGTTCTATTAGTATTTAGTAAGTGTTTTAATTTTTTTTATAGGTTCACAAATCTATCATATACATGTGCTAGTTTTGCTTTATTTTAGTTCTTAGCTTGCTTTCTTTTTGGTGCCACGGTTTTGACTTTATTTGTTCATAATTGCGTGTCCGTATGGTCTTGATAGTTGTTGATACATTGAGGTCATGTCCGTCTACTTCTAGGACTAGGGTCTCTAGCAAGGTGCAAGGGATTGAGAGTTCCTAGGGAGAGGCAAGGCGAGTGGTAGCAATGTAAAGGCTACTAGGTTGAGAGTTGGTACTCAGAATATAGGTTCCTTAATGTGAAGTTGTTGGATCCAACGGGGGGTATTAAGGAAAAAAGAAAGTGGGCATAGCGTGTATTTAGAAGACTAAGTCGAAGGTTGCCAAGGATAGATAGTGTAAAAAAAATGGTAAACTACACCATTTAAGCAGCCCATGTCAACCCGCCCTAAAGCCTACGTGGGAGATGGAGGTCAGTCGCGAAACACTAGCAATATTTTGGGTGTGTCAGGATTTGAATTTGAAACCTCTTGTGTATAATTTAACCCTTCAACCAGTAGGATCCCATTGTAGGGCGAAAGCTAGAGAGTGTAATGGATACAAGTTGTGGTACTCAGGTCTACGATATGCGAGAATGGGGTGGTTATTTTGCTGTCCCCAATGCTTATAGACAACGTGGTGGAAGTTAGAAGATGTAACGATATGATCATGGGAATCAAGGCAGTGGTTGGAGGGGAGATGGTGAGCGATGTGTGTGCTTACGTCCCCATAGTGGTTTGGGTGAGTTGGAAAAGAGGAATTTATGGGATGTGTTAGATGACCAACGCATTGTTGCAGAGGCGAGATCTTAGGGTTTGCAAAGATTGCAAGGTAATATCTGGTGATGTCTGTGCATCATAACATAGATTGTTAGTTGTGGATCTACTCGTAGGAAGGAGGGTTAGAGGAGGAAGTAGGATCGGACCTAGGATTTTTTTTTTTTTTTGGAAAAATTTGGATGAGGCTTTAAGAAATAGAGTGGTTGTAGAGGTGGAAGCTAGCACTGACCAAGTGAGCAGTGCATATCAGTTATGGAATACTATGACTGATACCATCAAGAGATGTAGCTAAAGACACTTTAGGGATGTCGAGAGGGACGCTTAAGGATCATATATAATCGTAGTGGTGGAGCAAGGAGGTCCAAGCAAAGGTTAGGGTAAAACATGCTTGCTATAAGGAGTTTTCAGAGTCTATCAAGGATGGATGAAGAAGATGCATGGGAAAATATAGGTACAAGGAGGCCAATCGTGAGGCAAAGAAAGTCGTTGCTATAGCTAAGGCCATGGCTTCCGAGGAGATGTATAGGAGATTGAACACCAAAGAAGGGAAGCAGGGAATCTACAAGCTAGCTAAAGCCAGAGAAAGAAGACAAATGGGCTTAGGATTGTGCTGGTACACAAGTCTAGGATTGAGTTGAATGCTCGGTTGGACACTTGGAGGTCGACTTTAAAAAGAAATGGCTACAAATCAACACGCTTAAAACGAAGTATCTTTTTTAAACATAGTATCTTTTGTGCAGTTTCAATGCAGAGTCGAATGATGGAGTAGATTTAAGTATACGTGAGTAAATCCTTACATCGAAGGATAACTTCAAATATCTAGGGTCTATGATCCATAAGAGAGGGGGTGTGGAGGTAGACATTATCTTATTCTTTTTCTTGTGTTTCCTCATTTATAGGTCATCTTTGTAACATAGTCGCTCTTCTTCCCCCTACCCTCATTATAATGAGATTCACAGGATCTGTTGATGTTGATGTTAGGAACCGGACCGGGTACATGCAGCGGAAACACACTATCACACACACACAAACTCACGAAAATAAAGCAAGAAGAACACAAGGATTTTACGTGGTTCGGATTCGGTGCAAATCTTACGTCCACGGGCTGCAACTAGAGAATTTTATTAAAACTCATAAGATTACAATTGGCTTGACACTCTACACTTGATGTTCTCTCAAGTTTTTGCACACAAAATATGCAAAACATACATGCATATATATAGGTATATTTGTGAGCCGCAATATGCACAAGATTGACTTTGAAAATTTTGTCATTCACATTAGCCGTCCAACAAATATTAAATAATTGTCCACCGACCATTTGAATATTTAATTCAAACGTTTGCCGACAACAATTGAATAATTCAATTGTTAAATGTAATGTTACATTTATGGCCCTTGAACTCTTAGGAACTTGTCAATTTGTTCAAGACTCCATAAATCTTAACAATCTCCCACTTGGAGGCTCGAACAACATGGTCCGTCTCTGTCATCCAACTCCAGTAATCTTAAAACAACCAAGTCTTCCAAGCCTCCAGTTCCTAAGAACAAGCTAAACTTAGTCCCATTTCTCTAATTGCAGTCGCCCCTCATCTTCAAGTACTAAAAGGGCTAGTTGAAGCTCCTACTAGCTCCAACTCAGTCGTGGCTAATCCCACCACCGACTCATCCTCTGTCTCAACCGGTTTGGACACTCCACCAGATCCAGAGATACACCGAGGACCACTAACACTCTCCAAACTTTGCAAACTTCCAACAAGAGAGAATTTTCCAGTCTTAGTCTTCAAAACCCAACGCCTCTTTGTAACTGTACCAGGAACATGTCTCGTGCTCCTACTGTCACAGAATCCCCTGAATGGTTTAGACTTTTGAACTCGTTCAGCTAACATCCCCTTGGCTCCAGAATTCATGTTTGCAAAATGAACTCTCTTAGCCGTAGATTTAGCGAACCAGATTTTGTCTTGCTTAACAGGGACGGTCATACTTCCCTCAGCAGGTACCTCAACCATATACAATGACCCACACTTCATACCACGAGCAATCACCAGATCACCATTGACCACCCTCCATTTACCATTTCCAAACCTTACTTCCAGTCCTTATTTATCCAGCTGACCAACAGAAATCAATTTTTTCTTCAGCTCCGGAATAACCCTGACATTCTTCAGGCTCCATGTAGTTCCCAATGAAGTAACTAGATCAATATCTCCCATGCCCGTTACTTGAAGCATCTCGTCATTTGCTAACCGTACCTTTCCAAAATCTCCTTTTTTTAGATTCACCATCGTTTCCCCGTTGTCCATGGCGTGAAACGAAGCCCCTGAATTCATGACCCAAGAGTCCACAGAACTTTCCATATTGAGTATCAGTGCATCATCCTCAGACACACTCTCAGCACCAGCAATGTTTAATTCTTTCTTTGGACATTGACTCTTAACATGTCCCACCTCTTGGCAGTTCCAGCATTTCACATTCTTCAAAGTTCTAGAAGAACTTTTTCCCCGACTCCCACTGCTCCTGCTATTCCCTCTACCTCTTCCGACATTTAATAAATCAGAAGAAGAAGATCCACCTTGATTCTTGCGTCTGATATCTTCGCCAAGAACCAAATCTCTAACCCCTTCAAAAGTCATACCACTGGTCTCCACGGAACTCGTAACAGCAGTAACTGTTCCGGACCAGCTATCAGGTAGAGAAGCTAGTAGCAGTGATGCTTGAGTCTCGTTATCAAATTTAATTCCCACAGATGATAATCTGGACAGAATTGAATTTAGATTGTTAATGTGAACCGTAACTGAGCCTTCCTCATTCATCCTTGTAGTGAACAACTCCTTCATCAAGAACACCTTGTTAGCCGCCGATGGTTTCTCATACATATTTGACAGAGCCTCCATCATACCACGTGCCGTGGTTTCATTCATGATGTTGAAAGCAACGCTCTTCGTCAACGACAATGTAATAACCGCCTTGGCTTTCTTGTCCTTTGAGTTCCACGCATCTTCAAAAGCTTTTTCCATTTTCTCCGGTTTGTCTCCGAGTACCATGTCCAAGTCTTTCTGACATAGCAATGCTTCTAATTGCATTTTCCACCAGCTAAAATCAGAACCGTTGAACTTTTCGATTACAACCTTGTCTTCATCCATTACGACAAACAAGATACAAATCAGGTACACTCGTGCGTGATAAAAAAATGATTGTACCCTCCAAACCTCGCTAATCTGGCTCTGATACCAGTTGTTAGGAACCGGACCGGGTACACGCAGCGGAAACACACTATCACACACACACAAACTCAAGAAAATAAAGCAAGAAGAACACAAAGATTTTACGTGGTTCGGATTCGGTGCAAATCCTACGTCCACGGGCTGCAACTAGAGAATTTTATTAAAACTCACAAGATTACAATTGGCTTGACACTCTACACTTGATGTTCTCTCAAGTTTTTGCACACAAAATATGCAAAACATACATGCATATATATAGGTATATTTGTGAGCTGCAATATGCACAAGATTGCCGCAAATATTGACTTTGAAAATTTTGCCATTCACATTAGCCGTCCAACAAATATTAAATAATTGTCCACCGACCATTTGAATATTTAATTCAAACGTTTGCCGACAACAATTGAATAATTCAATTGTTAAATGTAATGTTACATTTATGGCCTTTGAACTCTTAGGAACTTGTCAATTTGTTCAAGACTCCATAAATCTTAACAGTTGAGTTGAATTTTGTTATAAAAATCTGTATTGAAATCTTACTTTTCTATTCTCTGTGTTTTTGTTGGTTGTGATCAGTCATTATGATCATCATTTTTTCTAAGTCTATAACAAAAGCTACACACCCATTCTATTATGTCAGCATAACAAAAGCTACCGAAATGATTTCCATACACACTTTTGTCACCTCTGAAGATGTAAAAATTCAATAACATGAAATAAAAAAATTATACATTATATATATAATACAGGGAAATAAGTCCATTTATACATGATACATCAAAACCACATTTTTTTAAAATTACACACTTGAACTGATTCAGTATGGATTTGAACCATACACAAAGCCAACAATGTGTTTAGAGACTAACCCATATTCATATTCACAAACCTTGCACTAATCTTCATGGATCAGTAGAAAGCCTTTGCATTAAATTAAATGCTTACACCACATAAACATGAACATGAACATGAACTAACCCTAAACTAAAGTTTCCAGTAAATTCCCAGCCTATGTAAAATGCCTGAAACAATCGCCCAAAACAGAATCTCTGCAAATATAACATAAAGTAGGATTCCCACTCTCCTTGAATTCCATACTCCAATGAATATGTGTTTTTGAATCCAGTATACCTGCACCCATTCAACTACTTAATTAGAACCAATTCATCTGTTGAAGCTCTCAGTAGTGTTAAGTATGATGGAATCAAGGAAAGAATGGAACGCCTCATTCCATTCCATTGGAATGAAGAAAAGTTGTTTGTCTTGTCTGATTGAATGAAATTGGCCATTCTTGAACCATTTGTATTAATTTTCATTCCTTAGCAAATGGGTAACTTTTTTATTTTCCATCATGGAATGGAATAAATATTTACAATACTAAAATCCATTAGTTATAATTCAGTAGTATATACTAAAACTCATTAACTTTCCTACAGGCCAAAACCAAACATGATCATGGAATGTAATCACTCATTCCATTACTTTGCTTATTCCATTCCATTCCTTCAACATTTCATAGACCTAGTTTCATGGATATGTTTGGTTCATTTAAAAAAAAAAAAAAAAGGAAAAAAGCTCACCAGTGTGTTATGGGGATCATCATAGTACCAGCCATTAATGAATCCTGCAAAGATTCCTTCAGCTGCCATAACATAAACAAACATTGCATTCTTTCCAATCCATTCCAATGGCAGGAATAAATATCTTAATTTCAAGATATCAACCTGCAATTCAAAATCTTTTACAATGTTGTAACATGTCTAAATTTATAAAA